AAAGTTTTTGAGATATTTCCACTTTTCTGTTTTTTTCCAAAAATCGTTGTACGCTCTCTAGCCTTCGCAAAAATGGAGATCTCAACTTGAAATTTGGACAGGATCTGCATCTTATGACAAGGACGGTTGGGATTGAAACTGGGCTGAATCGGCCCAGTGGTTCCGGAGATATTCCATTTTTTATGAAAATCGATTATGTGTAATATCTCGAAAACTAGTGGACCGATTTCACTTTTTTTTTTTCAAAATATTCGCCTTGATGTCCCCTATCCAGATCAATCAGAACCTATATGGCCGTACCTGCAAAATTTTTGAGATATTTCTACTTTTCTGTTTTTTTCAAAAAATGATTGTACGCTCTCTAGCCTTCGCAAAAATGGAGATATCAGCTGGTTTATTTCATGGAGAATTTTTTTAGAATACTTATTCCATTGAGAACTATTTTTCTTATAGAAACCTGAATGTGCACTATCACCATTTATTCAAAATTCCTAACTTGGCTTCCTTTTTTATTTCTATGTATTTTTCAAAAACTTCGATTTCCCAGTAGGAATCAAACAAAACTTTTTCTTGGCCCAGTTTTTTTACAAAAACATTTGTTTTTGTCGAAATATACATATCATGTCATAAGAAATTTTTGAGATATTGCAATTTTTCTGTTTTTCGCCAAAAATTCTTATACGCGCTCTAAGTTTCTCAAAAATCGATATATACACTTGCAATTTGGCACAAAGTTTCTGTTCATTTTTGTGAGCATTTCATAGTTTTTTCCGCAGTAATGAAACACGTTCTTACGTAGATAATTGCAAAAGTTTCAACTGTGAAAGTTTCGGAAAATTGTTATCCGTGATATTGATTTGCTAGGTCGCATTCTTCTCCTCCAGCTAAGGAAACATCACTTGAATCCTTTTCTGCTGAGATCTGTCGAAAAAAATGTCGATTCTATTTCGAGTTTATGGTTATCGGAGACAAGTCGCCAATTTTGCGATTAATCTTCAAATAATTATTCAATTTT